CCCGCCCCCCAGGCAGGAGCAGCGCTATTAAAAGCCTCGCCCAGGGGCATGTATTTTACATAAGACGCCGTGTACATGCTGTGCAACATTCAGGAGGATCATGCTGGAGCAATTGGTCCGGATATAATGCCGGTTACCTTGCGGGAGCGCCAAGGGGAGCGATGCTGGCTCGGTGCCGGGGGGAGCGAACCCCCTTGGGCTATAGGGGCTGCAGAGGCGGAGCAGCAGCCAACAGTAGGATGGGGCCATGGGGGGCCCCTCTGTCCCCACCGCCGTCCCCTCCTGCGAGACGCAGAGCCCCGCTCCCTCCTCCTATTCCACGGGGCGGAGGGGACGGGGTGGGGGGGGGGGCTGGGAGCGCGCAGCTCAAGCACCGAACTCAATGTCTAGTGGCCTGAAAAGTTTCATTTCCTGCTGGCGAGGGCCCTGCAGAATGGCATGTAAAGGAGCTGCGGTGCCTGTACACAATTACACACCCGGCTGCCTTATTTCATGGAAATCAATGGCCGCAGAGGGACGGCGCGTCAGGGGCTCTGCGGCAGAGCACGACGCCGGTCCCCCCGCCGCGTGTCCTCACCCCGTGTCCCATCCTGGAGCAGCTCTGCATCCCCCATCCATCCATCAGGAGGATGCTGCGGTGCTGCCTGCTGAGCGGTCCGGTGCCAGAGTGCGCTCCTCCCCACGTGCTGCACTCAGCTCTCCTCGCTCCCCGTCTCGTGCTATTTCCATAAATCATCCCCTGAGCAGGTGTTTTCCTGGGTGCTCGGCAGCCGGCAGCTTGTTCCAGGGACGGCTGCGGCTGTATCACTTGTAGCTATCAGGAGATAAGGCCGGGGACAGGAGAGGAGAGGGGGGAGCGGGGGACGAAGCGCAGATGTGACAACTGCAGAGCACGAGGAGAGCAGTGACGTGGGGGGAGAGGGGGGCACGGAGCAGCAGCAGAGCCTGGGAGAGAGCAGTGAGCACGGGGATGGGGTCAAGGGATGGGGCCCCAGGGATGGGGTCACAGGGATGGGGTCAAGGGATGGGGTCAAGGGATGGGGTCATGGATGGGGTCATGGGGATGGGGTCACAGGGATGGGATTGCAGGGATGGGATCACTGGGATGGGGTCAAGGGATGGGGTCACAGGGATGGGGTCACAGGGATGGGGTCATGGATGGGGTCATGGATCAACAAGGCACAGCACCTCGGGGGGTGCAGGGAGCAGCACAGCGCAGCCTCTGGGAACCAACGCCAAAGGAGGAGGAGGGAGCAGGGAGCACAGGGAGCTCTGTGCTGTGCCCTTGTTGCACCCCAGCCCCGTGCTGTGGTCCTGATGGATCAGTGCAGCTGCATCCCAGAGCCCATCACCGCTCGCTGTGGGGCAACACCGCACCCATCATCCTGGGAACCCCGACCACAGAGCGCAGTGGGGCTGCAAAGCTCAGGGCTGGGGGAGTTTTGCACAGCAGGAAACCCCAATCAAGCCCAGACCCACTCATGAAGTTGCCTTTTGCACGAGGGTGGGATGGGCACACGGCTCCCGAACGCCCCACCCCCACGTGCCCCCAGCTTCAATTACAACATGAGATTGCTGCTCCAGGAGTTCTGGGTCCGTAAAAAACCCATTTCAGACACGGCTGGCCATACATGACGTGTGACCCCGCAGCGCTCCGTTGGGCACAGGGCCGTCCCCACCAAAACCACACAGCCCATTCCGGAGCGCAAAGCTTGGCTGAGCCAAACGAGCCCTTTCAGGCCTTAAAAATCTATGACTCCATTAATTAATGACTAACGACGATCCGTCTCAGCCTTACGCCTGCCAGCTCGCTATTTTTAACTCCGTATTTCCAACCCCATGTGTTAAAAAAATCATGAATCTGGGCTGAAAAAGCCTCACGCCGTCGCTCCATCCCGGCCCCCCCGGGCGCTCTCCCGGCGCGCCGCGGTCCCGTTCCGTCGGTGCTGGCACGCAGATGGTCCCATTAAAAAGCAAAATGAGTTTTTCACCCTCTCGTGGCAAACTTCAGAGCTTCGGATCAGCTGTACGAGCTTGCATTCATTAACGGCGGATTGTTCCTATTCTGCTCATTATGTTGAAATATGCGTTTAAAACGCTGGGAACGAAGGCGCGAGAAAAGTCGTGTGTGGGGCGGTGAGAAACACAACACGCAGGGGTGGGTGTTTGGTGCCAGAGCTGCTGTGCCATGGGGCAGCAGCTCAGAGGGATGGGGAAGCCCTGGGGGGGACACAGATGGCAGCAGCATTGAGGTGGGGGCGGGGGGGGGACCCTCAGGGATGTCACCAACCCCAAAATGGCACATGGGGAAACTGAGGCAGAGGGGCGCCTGGGGAGACGCCGTGTGTGTCCCACCCCACAGCGCCCACCTGCCGGGCTGCAGCGCCTCTGATAATTAAATACTATCAACAATTGCATATTAATTAATTTAATATCCATTATTATTCATTAAGGTGGTAATTAAATCCTTCCCGTAATTAACACACCACCCAGCTCGGCGGTCTGGCGTCACGGCCCCTTTGCACCAGTGGGGTTGGGGAGCAGGGAGGGAACCGAGCATGGCCACCCCATTGCATCCCACTGCGTCCCAATGCACCTCACTGCATCCCAATGCACCCCATTGCACCCCACTGGATCCTATTGCACCCCACTGCATCCCAATGCACCTCACCACACCCCACTGCATCCCAACGTACCCCACTGCATCCCATTGCACCCCACTGCATCCTATTGCACCCCACTGCATCCCAATGCACCTCACTGCGTCCCATTGCACCCCAATGCACCCCAATGCACCTCACTGCATCCTATTGCATCCCACTGCATCCCAATGCACCCCCATTGCATCCCACTGCACCTCACTGCATCCCAATGCACCCCATTGCATCCTATTGCACCCCATAGCATCCCAATGCACCCCATTGCATCCCAATGCACCCCATTGCATCCTATTGCACCCCACTGCACCCCCATTGCATCCCAATGCACCCCATTGCATCCCACCGCACCCCATTGCATCCCAACACACTCCATTGCATCCTATTGCACCCCACTGCATCACAATGTACCCCATTGCATCCCACTGCATCCCACCACACCCCACTGCATCCTATTGCACCCCACTGCATCCCAATGCACCTCACCGCACCCCACTGCATCCCAATGTACCCCACTGCATCCAATTGCATCTCACTGCACCTCACTGCATCCCACTGCACCCCAATGCACCCCACTGCATCCCAATGCACCCCATTGCACCCCACTGCATCCCACTGCACCCCAGCACTGCTGGGTCCGTGCAGCAGCTTCCAGGCTCAGCCCGCAGCACGGCGGCAGGGAAAGGCACGTCTCCAAAGCAGGGGGGAAAGGGGGGGGGGACCTCACATGACATTTATTTTTATTTTATTATAAAAAAATACAGAATCCAAATGAAGTGGTGATCCGGATACCATCAGCACGACGTCGAGGACGAGAAGCGGCGTGGCGAAGGACGAAGCTATAGGAGACCAACACGCAAAAAAAAAAAAAAACCCAAAAAAACAAACCCAAAAACAAAACCAAACCCAAAAACCCAACGCCCACCACGGGCTGCTCCCAACGCAAAAACTGACCCAAGCGACCCCCCCCCCCCCCCCCCTCCCTCTCCCCAACCCTTTTCCCCCTCGCCCCCCTTTCTGCTCAGAGCTCCCTGCGAGTGCTGCTGCCTCAGCGCTGCTCCCCAACTCTCTCACAGTCGCTGTACACAATATAGATATTTATATATATAATCTATATATATATAAAACACAGACCGAAGGCCAGGGGGGGGCCTCTCCAGGGTTGGG